GAATGACATCGTCACACACTGTACACAGAGCTTTACCGGCGACATCGAGCTTTTTCACGAAATCCGACACAAGCACAATGGTTCTTCTTTACTGTTTCCTACTGGGGACACCGTCAGCTTTCTATCCAACCAGCCCCATCGAAACGTGTTTTTCAGATCCGCATCCATCTGACGCACTTTAGCTTCGTCGCGAGTCTCGATAACATTCGGCATTCGCGAGAAAGGGGTTTAGGAAGGCGAACACGGATTGGTTTTGATTTGCATTTGCCGAAATAGCGACCAATCACAACAAGTAAGACACCATACACGTCCAATCGCAGGGCTGTTTACAATCGGAAGATGGAAAGACTGATCGGGTGAGCTCGTGAAAACTCGACAATAAGGTACCTGACCCCCCCTAAAATTTTCTCAACGGATTTAGACGATTCACAAAAATGATCAATTTAAGAAATAAAACGGCGGATTTCCGCGTATCCGCGGAAAATTGCCATCCCTGTATAATGTGAAAGCGTGTACCTTTACGAGGGCAGCACAGAAGGGTTTGAGTACACTCTTGGGCAGTGTAGCCTGAGTGCAGTGTCTAAAGGAGCGGGCCAAAAACAAAGAGGCTTGCTGCTTTATAGAAGGGTTTTTATTATCCATCACGGCCAGGACGTCATCCGACAGACTTTGCAGAGTAGTCTAGGGGAGAGAGTTACATATTACATGAGGTTGTGTGCAAAAAAAAAAAAAGAAAAATCCAACAATAAATCAAAACCAAATATCCATTTCACCATAAAGACACATGGGAGATTAAGTGCTCCACAAATTCTCATTAACACTTAAATTGGCTGTGAGCGTGAGTATTTACAACAGCAGCAGTGTGGAGTCAAATCAACGCAAGTTATCCAAGCGAAGTTTTCTTTCCCCACTTCAGAATAACTCTTCATGCCTTATTTGGTTAAAATGAGTACAACTGGTAAGCACTAATACATGCAAAAGTACTATATGCAGGGTTAAGACTATATTTCAATTTTTAATGATAGTTAGGGACAAACTTCACAAAGTTTCAAACGTCCCATGTTGTCCAAAGTTGCTACATTTCATACATGATGTACATCAGCCCTTAACAGTCCCGAATAACACCACATTAGTGTTTTGTTGGTTCTGCTATCTCGATTACATCACTTCAGTAAATTAGTTTAAGAATATTACCGGTAATTTATTTTGAGACCCTTTATAAAAATAAAATTGTAAATGCCTTTTAATAATTCAGGGTCTGCAGGAACCTATACAATACGGGGGGTCCTTTGGGGAAGACTTTAAACATAAACCATTCTTCTGAAAACTCCCAAGTTCATGAGCCATTCTGAAACACTAATCACTCAACATAAATATATCTACTACTCAATAAACTCGATTGCCAAAGAAATTTAACAAGGGTCACAAGTAGCAGAATTGCAAACAAGTGCTGTTTTTTGTGCCTTCTACTGTACTCTCTGCACAAGTTTTTTATGAAATACTTTTTTTTGAACTACTACTTTGTTTTTTATCAGGTAATTAGACATGTTCTGTGCTTAGAATTTGTGTATACTTACAGTAAGAAAAATGGCATCAATGGCTTCTTGCAGGGCTTGGACAACCTGAAGCTTCTTCTCTTTGAACTTTTCCAGAATAGTTGGAACAACCTGAGGAAGGGGGGCGGGGAGAATTGCATCTCTTATTCTGGGATAAATAAAAATTTCAATTAAATGCACCCGATTCTTGCTGTTATTTTTTTTTTAATTGTAGAGTTCACCATTGAAAACATTCTGATGTAGTTCTCATTTAGTTGGATGATTGTCATACAGAGAACTAAAATAAAAATTCTGACTTGGACGGTGAGGTCATCATGGGTATATAGTTTAATACACACACACACACACACACACACACACACATACATACATATATATATATACATATATATATACATATAATATTTAAGATTAAACATGAGATGAGTTAATTCTAATTAACACACACATATACATACATACATACATAGTTTAACATAAATCTGGTAAGAAAATACACATTCTAGTAGAGTGACATTACTAATAAAGAAAGGCAACAAAAAAGAAAGGAAAAAAGAAAATGACTCCATGGGATGAATAGAAAAATGTACGGTGGTCTTTTCATATAAACAGACAATTGCAAGTATATAATTGCATGTGCTGAGAGGGGTTCCCAAAATAGTTGCTTGAAAAGTTAATTATTCTTACAACTTACCTGTCCTGCATATGTTCCAAATTTCTTCCTGAGACCAGAGGCCAGTCCGGCCAGACATTTAGCTGCCATTGAAACCAGCATGACATTGGCATCTTTCCCCACAACCTAAGACATATCAGACAGTACTGTAACTATCATACATACTCCAGTGTCATAAAACCACCAGCGAGGCTGAAGCGTACCATTGAAGTTCATCCTTTTTTTGTGACTAACCACACAATAATAATCCAGTTCTTTATCAAATATCTAGTTTCATGACAAAGGAGCACACCGGTGTGTATAACTGCCTGAGATCAATCATAAATTGAGCGCATGCATTTTACCTCCAACCAAAAGGATTTATTTTGTTTGTCTGGAAAATTTTGATTATGCATCTGTGATTTAGCCACTGTTTCTACAATGAGCCACAGTTGGTGGGGGGGGGGGCATTTAAAGTGACTGGTAATCACCAGGCTGACTCATGCATGGGCTTAGTAGCTTACTGCACAGCCCCAGCAACACACTGGGCAATTGACTTGATGACCAAGTACCTTCTTGAGCGCTCTAGCGAGATCTCCATAATCCCCGCTCTCCAGTTTTGGATTCTTTGACAGAGATTCAACAGCTTCCAGAGCTTCTTTCCTCTCTTGCCACTTTTTAGCTTCCTGCAAAAACAGAAATTGAGGTTCCCAATTAAAATTTTGTTCAACAATTCATGTGACTACTAACTCTTGGGGAGTATGTGACCACCGCACACACTTGAACTTATTACACTTACAATTTTATCATAAAAGTCTTTGGGCAACTGGGAAAGAATATCCACAGCTTCCATTAGCTCATAAGGATCCACTGCCACCACCGTGTCCTCTTCTTCCTCTCCTGCAGAAGGCAGGTAGGTTAGAGTGGGAAAACCGCATCAGATGGGTTGACCAAAAAAAAAATAAAAAAATTATGTAAAACAATATTGTGTTTAAAACACACCTTTGGATTTATTCCTTGCAAAAAAAATAAAAAATAGCACAGTACCACATACAGCATTTTTGTAGCATGTTTCCTGAGAGGCTTAATTGAATGACACTTTAAACATCTGTAAATATTTGATTAAAGTTGAATTAATTTGATTTTTAACAATTTCACCTCCATTTTGGTACATTGGCACACTAACAATAAAACTAACCCCCCCACCTCAAAGTCAGTGAAAATGACTGCATAGTCCAATGCAGATGTAGCAAAAATGCCTATGGGTGCTTCTCAGACTGTGTGGTCCAGCCGGATGTCCAAATGTTGACCGACTTCAAGTTAATTTCCCTTTCTTTTGCAATCAATCACCAGATTTCACTGCTTACATTACAGAGATGTGTTCTTTTGTTTATGTGGTCATGTATTTTCTATGGTGAAAAACAGCCATCGCGACCACTTCGTCTCCATGGCATACCAACAACATGTAATTAAGAGCCCTTTATGTCCTTAAAATGAGTTCAAAGCAGTTTCAAAAACAGTTGATACCAATAAACTAACAGAATATCAATGAAATACAACACCGTTTAATTGAGTTCCCCCTGTCCACAATGTTATCACAAACCCTACTTTGTGGATTTTCGGCTTTTGCCGGGGGTTCTGGTCACCATAAACCGCGATAAGTGAGGGATCACTGTATTTCATTTTTACCTGATTTTGAATAAGTATATTTTTGGGCTCTCATGTCACACTACTGGACCATACATTCTGAGAACCAACAGTATCCCCAAGTGCCAATATGAATGTGATGATGATTTAGGCCAGGGGTGCCCAATACGTCAATCGCGATTGACCGTGAGCCAGCGGACTGGTCCCAAGTCGACCGCAGGGAGTGGGAGGAGTAAATCTAAGATTTGTGTGTCTGTGTGTTTCGGTTTCTTTCATGTTAGGGGCCGTTCCGGCAGTTGCTCATCATGGCGTTTGTGCGCGCGTGTGCATAGTTGGGCGCCAGCGTGCGTGCCTATATGCTTGCACGTGCACGATCGTGTCAATCACGGGAGGTTGGTCACTTCAAAAGTCAATCTTCGGTCAAAAAAGTTTGGCCACCCCTGATTTAGGCCATAGCAAAAACCTACAAAGTAAAATTATTGTAGGAATGGAAATTTTGAGCAATATTGAATTAACTGAGCTCCATTATTAAATAAAAATGAATACAATTCACCGAGCGTTCATTAACTATACATTTTTTTTGTTTGTTTGTTTGTTTTTGCTTTTAATACCAGACTCTTCTCCTTGTGCTTGTTGCTGTTGAAACTTGGCCTTCAGGTCTTGCTGGGAGCGCAGGAACCTGCTTTGCTTAGGTGGGCTTGTCGGCAACTTCACCCATTCTTCTTCAAGTTCCTTCAGCTGCAGAGGAGGCACAATAATTGTGTTATTTGATGCACTTGTTGACGTTCTTTCAGTAAGTATATGTTTCCAGAGATGAGCATGTCCTACCAGGACAGAGTTGATATTTTGCAGTGAAGGTTTCAAAGCATCTCGGATCCATTTGTAGATTTCTACAGCAAGCATCTTTGCCTCATCTCTTACGGCCTTCTCTCTGGACTCAAACTGCTTAGGTAATACCTTCACTACTGGCTTCAAAGTCACAATTTTGGATCCAAACTCACTAAAAAATGAAAACCATTGGAAAATAATCCATGTTTGCAAACTGTCTGAATTGTACATTTATGTTTCAAATGGATATTGCTATGGCAGGCACATTCTGAGAAGATACAAGCTTGTTCAATTTACCTTCTTCACAAATATTGAGAGTAATAAATTACATTCCATGACTTTCTCTCTGGGGGCACTGACCTGAGAGCCTTCCTGAGAGTCTCAATACAAGCCACAACGATCTTGGGGTTCTTGTTGTCCAAACCCTTCAGAAGCTCATCCTGTACCACCTCAGCTTTTTCCATTTCGATGTACATCAGACAGATGTCTGTGCCCAGTTCCTTTGCACGGGCCTTTGGCTGGTTAAACACTTTGGTCACCACCCCCGACACCACGTCACCTGCTGTCCTGCAAAAATGAAAATTGTCCCATGTCAACACGTGTATGGCCTAAACACAAAAATATATGATTAAGAATAGTGCAGCGAAATCTGGTTATTAGATAGATAGATAGATAGATAGATAGATAGATAGATAGATAGATAGATAGATAGATAGATAGATAGATAGATAGATAGATAGATAGATAGATAGATAGATAGATAGATAGATAGATAGATAGATAGATAGATAGATAGA